ACATATTGTAAGCCAAGCTCGCCCTGGGGGACTAACCCACCCCTAGTGCGATCCCCTGACCTAGGCTGCGATTTCTAAGCTAAGTGGGTATGTGTCCTGCCGTTCAACATTGCGCTTCTGGCTGGAACCTCTGATCTCCTTTTACTTCCAGAATGTTCTCGAGATGTCTGCGTTCACCCAAACCTTCTTGCTTCGATGATTATTTGAAAGTTTTCTGTAAAACAACAAAGTTCACTGGACCTCTTGGCCACTTTAATAAATGTAAAAACATGGTAATGGTGGCAGGGTAAATGCCCTTGCCTTTGCCGACACAGACTCAGATTTGGGGAGAGCCAGGAGGAGCTGCCTCATGGCCCGAGCAGCCTTATCCCAGCCTGCTGCCACTGCGAAGTGCAGTCCACGCCTCCTGCCCAACAGCTGGGAGGGGAAAGGAGGAGACTTGTCCCAGAACACTGCTTTCCCAGTGCCAGGGCCTCATCCAGGTCACAGGTCATGGCACAGTCCCCTGAAGGTCCGGGCTTGCGCCACCTCCACAGCACACTGGCAAATATCTGGAGTCAGGGACGTGCCTCTCTGCCCTGTTGTGTCAAGGCCAGCTGCGTGGCCTTGGGCCAAGTGTCAGCCTCTGATCTCGGCTTTCCTGTCTGTAAAGTGAAGCCATTAATACCCAGGTTGTGGGGCTATCCTGAGGCTTAAATGAGAAAATGTTTGTGAAAGAGCTAGGCAGTACAAATTCTAATTACCATTGCTATCTATTGTTGTAGACAAGAGAACAAATAATGTCAAGCCTCTTATCCAAGGGCCAGAAACCCCCAAATTGCTGAACCTCAACTAGTCCCTCTACCCTCAGCTCTTGTCCCATCAACCAGGTACCTCTTCCTCTCCTTCCTCCTCCCTGAAGACCCCAGGTCCAGCCTCACCTCCTTGATAGAACCTTCTCTGCTGGCTCCAGGCAGAATTCATACGCCTGCCTCCATGCCCACAGTGCCTGGTCTATTGTTGACCTAATTGCACTAGCTTTTAATTATTTATCAAAGTGGCTGGCTCCCTCCCATGGCAGCCTGCGAATATCTTGAGGGCTGGGATCCTGTTATATTAATCACTATTAGCTTTGGCACCCAACAGTGACTAGCACATAGTTGCTGCTCATTAAATGCTTGTTACTAAGTGGAGTAATTAACACTATCGTCTCCAATTGTAATGGGATTTGAGGGCTACTCCTTCCGGGAGGCCATTTTCTGGCATCCTACCCTTAGACTCGCTCCGCAGCTAGCACGATCTGCAGACTGCACCTCTCTGCCAGTCTGCTAGCAGGGCAGTGTGGAAATTCAGAGTCACCATCTAGAAAGCTAGGTCCCTGGATCTACTCATTTTTAACTGGGCTTTTATTTGGCATGCATTTTCCCTTTCTACTGATTCATTTTCACTGTATTTTGCCATCATATCTGCAATGACAGCCTAGAAATTTTAAAATAAAGAGTGTCTATGTGTATGTGGCTCTTTACATGCTCTGAAAAGCAGGCTCCAGGCCACCCATCTTCTGTGGAGCGCGAACTGTGAGGCTAACAGACCCCTCAGGCAGGAGATGCACCCTCAGCCCACCTCCCTGGGCCTCACTCATTGTGCCCTGCTTTCACTTCTGTCCCTCTGACTGCTTGGAAGGGCATGCAGTGGTCTTTTATTCCTGTTTGTTTTTTCCTTTCTTTCAAAGCTGCTCATTAAATGAGGGGAAGTGGATTCTCTGCAAGAAGAGAAGAGGGGAAGGGAAGGACAGACCCAAAGAAAATCTCAGAGGGCCACACTGGGTGAAAGAATGCTCAGTGCAGCCGGAACTGTCCAGAGGAGGGCACAGAGACGCTGCCCACAGAGGCCAGCCTGAGCGCTCAGCCTGCTGGGCTGCAGCATGGAGCTAGAGGGGCCTGGGTGGGCCCCGCTCCTTCACCAAGCGAGAGGGGAGAGCCAGGTTCTTGAAGGACAAACAAAAGGGATATAGAGTCCTCTGCAAAGGGCTGTTAAACTAGAGGCTCCCACAGCCCCCATGGCATTAAGGGCAAGATAACAAATAAACACGTCATGCAGCTGGTGCGGCCCGTTGCCTGCCTGGGGGGTTAGGCCAAGCAAGTAACAGAGGCAAAATATGTGAGTTGTGGAGTCCTCTTCAGGCAGACAGAAGAGCTGACTTCCAGCCCAAATAAGGCAGAAAGAGCAAGACTTGATTACAGTGAATCAATCAACGGCATTAACATATTTAAAGAGCATGTCAAGGGGGGGATGGGCCCAAGAGGCAACACTTCTGGTGTTTATCAAGCAGAGGGGCGCTTGATACCAGAGTGGAGAGGTCTGGTACCTGGAGGGCATATCCAACGGGGTTGGATGTAGGTGTGCAAAGGGCCTGGCAAACCTCTCTGAGGCGAGCGCAGCCCTCTCCTAGGATTCCACAGTTCATCACCCTGCTGCTGCGTCCTAACCAAGGAATCTCTTCCCACAGAGGACTGCTTAGAGGAAAGGCCAATCTGCCCACACACTTGTACCTAGTTCACTCATTTTGTGTGTGTGTGTGTGTGTGTGTGTGTGTGTGTGTGTGTGTATGTGTGTGTTTTGGGTTTTTGTTTTGTTTTTGGCAGAACAGGGGATTGAACTCACGCCTTTGCGCTTGCCACACAAGCGCTTATTCCACTGAGCCATCTCCCAAGCCCCTATGTGTGTATGTTTTTTAATGTATTTTTTAGTTTTTTGTTCAGGGTCTCACCAGGCAGCTTGAACTCACAGTGATCCTCCTGTTTTCAACCTCCCCAGCACTGGGATTACAGGTGCGCCCTCACCCAGACTTGGTGGCTGGCTCAGTGCGCCCAGGGGCAGGGCTGCAGTGGCACGTGGCGCCCCTCTGGATCAAACTCGTCCCTGTGCTCGTGTAAGTAGGTAACCAGATGCTTAGTCCGCTGAGCTATCTCGCCAGCTCTGGTTCACTCATCTTGATGTAAATAGTGGGGCGACTGAGTTAATGAACCCTCGAGGTGTGCCGGGCAACACGCCAAGCCCTTTACAGTGCTCCCTCCGTTAGCACCGGGAGTTACTGCGCTCATTTTACAGATGGGATCACTGAGGCCCTGTTGGATAATCTCCCAAGGTTACACAACTTGTAAGTTTAAGAGCCAAGACGCAAACCCAGCCTGACTCCACACCATCTTGTGTTTAATTTTTACTGAGAACAGTAGGCTGGGGATCTGGTTGGGACATCCGTCTCTTCCAGGGTTGATTGGTGCGAGTCAGGGCTTCACTTAGCAGACAACTCTAGGGCACTAGCCTAATAGGGCCTGTGTGCTCCAAATGGCTTCCTGTTCTATACCCCTGCCACTTCACTGTCCCAAACCCTACCAGGGCTCAGGCTTCCAAACACTCTGAACTGGTAAGCTGGAAGAGAAGGACTAGATTTCCATACAGGACAGTCCCATACAAGACTCTGGATAAGTCATCACTTCCCTGAGTGCCTCGGTTTCCTCTACTGAGTTGGATCCCATGACCTCCTGCAATGACTCCAGCTCCAAACAAAGACAAGATGGACCCATGAACGCACCAGCTGCTGCACCATGCGCTCAAGAGAAGGTAGAGGGAGGGAGTGGCATGGTGGGGCACATGATCCAGGGCATCCAGCCTCTTTGATCCAAAGCCAGCTGCTGCCACCCTGGGCCGTGCCAGGCCCACTGCTCCCTTGTGTATTCTGGGGCCTCTGCCCGTAGGCTCTGTAGGGTGAAAATTTCCCAGAGACTCCTCTTGGCCCTTTCCAGCTTTAGCTCAGGAAGGATGGTGAAGGAAGTCGGAAGTTCTGTCCACCCAGGCAGACTAGAAGGGGCAGGAAGGAGCTTCTTCCTACAGCTGGCTTGAGGCAGAGCACCGAGCGCCAGCGCAGAGGAAGACCCCTAGTCCTTCGGGAGGGCCGACCCCTACCCAAGCGCTTGGACGCCGAGAGGCGGAGCTGCGGGCTGCAGGTCCCGCCGGCTGGATTCCCAGCTGCCTTACCAAGCCGCCGAGGCGCAGTGTCGGTCCTGCCTAACCCAGGTGCTTCCTCGTCTGGCTGGGCATTGCCATGTCCCCTTCACCTGAGGGTCTCGAATTGGGCAAGTGTGCAGTTTGTAAGATGAATGAACGAACGCGCGAACAAATCGCCCTTATCAGGGGCCCCTCCGCGGAGCTTTAGGGTTTCAGCACGCATTGGGATGTCAGCGCCCAACGCTCTGGGGACCGGGCCTGCCGGCCTGCAGTGGGGGCGGCCGAGATCTCCGGCTGAGGGGTGGGAGCTGCCCTACGCCAAGCGCAGCCGCGGCCAGCTTCCGCGGTGGATCCGTCTGCCCAGACTGCCCTAGTTCCCCCTCCGCTCTCGTAAATCCACCGGCCCCCTCCCCAGCCCGGGTCCCCCGCCTCCCTTGACTCTTGGGGCTCGGACCTCAGGTCCGGCGGGAGGCGGCGGCGGCTTTCACTCCCCGCCCCCCGTGCCCCTCTTCCCCTCCCGCCCCCCTTTCTCCCCGCGCTACCGCGGCCACCCTGTCGCCGGCGCGCCCGATGAACTGCCGCACAGCCGGGCGCAGGGAAAGGGGTCCGCGCCGGGAGCCGGCCTGGAGAAGCGCGGCGAGCTCC